GGTCGGTGGAGCCCGCGAGAGGCAAAGGTGCCGGGTTCCGGCCGGCCGCTGCATTCTCAGCCTTCTCTCTGCCAGGGAGCGTGGCTGGCAGGCAGGCAGGCGGTGCAATGGCGAGGAGGGCCCTGCAGACAGGCGGGCAAGCAGGGAAGGGCGGTTGGCGCGCGTCGGGATCGGGGTGCCCGGGAGCCGAGCCGGGGAGGTGAAGGGGAGTCACTGCAGCTCACCGTGGGTGTAAATGTTGCCCAGTTCGTTGTGCAGGTAGAAGAGGCTGCGGAGGCAGCCGGACCCGGAGCTGACCGGCCGGTAGCCCGTCAGCACGAAGCGGTTGAATTGCAGGTGAGGGGGGGAGCTGGCCCAGTCCAGGAGCCGGGGCCCCCCCAGGAAGGCCATGGCCGGGCTCCCCCCCCGGGGTCAGCTGCCGCCGCTGGCCGGGCTCTGCATCCTCCTCGCGCCTCTCCCTCCGCCTCCGCCTCCTGCTGATGCTGCTGCAACCAGCCGGCTCCTCCTTTGGCTTCTCCCCTCCCGGCTGAGCGCACGACTTCGCCCCGCCCACCCCCACCCCCCTTCATTAGCATAGCCTCTGCCTTTCACGCCGCCCCCCTGGCCTGCAACGCGTCCCCGGGTGGCCCTCGCTCGCACGCCGCCCCGCATAGCCGCGCCCACCCGCTCTCATTTGCATAATCTCTCCACCGCAGTGTGCCTCGCACATGGCGCCCGGAACTGGGACTCCGTAATATGCACACTCCCCGGGCAAGCCACGCCCCTCTCCTTGTCAGCCGACCCTATCGTTCCATCATTAGCATAACTAAACGCCCCTCCCGCCTGCGGTCGGCATCCTGGAATTCGATTATTAGCATAAATCTTTTTCGGACACGCCCCCTCCCTCCAAGAGCCCGCCAGCTATAGGTCTGTAAGTAGGCGCGCGCGCAAGAGGGATCCGCTTGCCAGCGCATCATGCGGGCAAAAGACGCCCCCCAAAGGCAGGCAGGCTGCACGTATTCTGCACGTAACGCTGGTATGACGTTGCCGCCGAATTACTATAGCCTTGCCCCGAAACTTCGTGGGGACTCCGGCAGGATCGTTTGTATAGTCTGCCTTTTATTCTTGACGAATTTCTTATTAGGATAGTGCCTCCTGACTGTACAGACAAGCTTTTGAATAACTATTATTATTATTATTATTATTACTGCTACTACTACTTTATAGTCCATCTTTTTCACTGAGACTGAAGGTAGATTACGCAGTGCAAATCAATGTGATCCATAGGATGAAATGCCTGATAAGAATATATTATTATTATTATTATTATTATTATTATTATTCACACAGCACTCAGGCACAGGCAGTATTGCCTCCATGGAAACCTCGTACCGCACGCCAGTAGGATTACTCCCATCCTGCAGATGGAAAACTGAGGCGGAATGGATCCCAGGCAGAGTTGAGAGGTTCAAGTGTTTTCCTGCTCGCTCTTTGCGCCTAAACTGAGCTGTTAACAGAAAAACGCCCAGGTAAAAGATCTTCGTGCTCATTAAGGGCGAGCAAAGTCTGGCGGGGGGCAGGGGCGGCGCTGGGAACAGGACATTCTCATATTTGCATGCCTCATGACCGGGGTGTGCAGAGTTTCACTTCTGGATTAATAACAACAACAGAGGCACTTTGCCCACGCTAGTTTCACATGCGTCGTCAACAAAGGGGAGGGGGGCATCGGACAATTGGGAAATATCCCACCTCCTCAAAAGTTGCCTTCCAGGATTCGCTATCCTTGAGCAGGCCGATTCCCCCCCCCTCCCCCTCGTCTCGCAACTGCTTTCAAAGGCCATCCCTTCCGGAGCAGGCTCAGTCCTACTCGGGCTGCTTTGGGGAGGCTTTTCGGTCCCTCTTTGGGCTGGTTTACAAAGTAGCATCTTCCCGCGGACCTGGGCATTCCTTCGAGGAGCGTTCCTGTGCATGGCCCCACTGGGTAGCTCTATCCAGTTTGGTGTAGTGGTTAAGTGTGCGGACTCTAATCTGGGAGAACCGGGTTTGATTCCCCACTCCTCCACTTGCACCTGCTGATGTGACCTTGGGTAAGTCACAAGCTCTGGCACACAGTTGTTTCTGAAAGAGCAGTTTGTGTCAGAGTTCTCTCAGCCCCACCCACCTCACAGGGTGTCTGTTGTGGGGAAGGGAAGGGAAAGGAGTTTGTAAGCCGCTCTGAGACTCCAAGTGAAGGGCGGGGTATAAATCCAATCTCTTCTTCTTCTCCATGTGACTGTTCAGTACGGTGATGCAATAGAAGGCAGCTAGCCTGAAGAGATTAATAATCTTAATGTATTAATTATTCTTAGCACTCCATCATTAGACTAACATGAGGGTCTGTGCATTTCCAATCTCCCTTTGGTAACCGGGGTGGGGTGGGGAGGCAATACCTTCCTTCCCTCCAAAAGTTATGGCAATTGCAATTAAGTATGAACAAAAATGATTTCTATGAAGTTCAATATTACAGTTGTAATATGTACTGAATTAAGGATGCAACCATCTACATCTAAATTCACACTGATCTGTCTTGGGTATATCATAATTAATCTGAACTGACCTATTAATTACATTCTCCACCCATTTACTTTTTTAAAGTATTAATTAATATAAATCTGCCCTGGATTTTATTATTTACAGTTGTTTCCTTTTGCACAAGACATAAAGTCACCAGCCTCCAGGTCTGGCCTGAAGTTCTCCTGGAATGACAACTGATTTCTGGACTACGGGGATCAGTTTCCCTGGGAGAAGATGGCTGCTTCGGTGGCCGGACTCTAGGGCTTCACATCCCCACTGAACTAACTCCCCTCCCCAGACTCCGCCCTCCCTAGCCTCCACTCCCAAATCTCCAGAAATTTCCCAGACTGGAGTTGGCAACCCAAGCAAAACATATGGCTTTCGTCAGTCTTGAACATAAGAACATAAGAGACGCCAATGTTGGATCAGGCCAAAGGCCCATCCAGTCCAACATTCTGTCACACAGTGGCCAAAAATACCAGGTGCCATCAGGAGGTCCACCAGTGGGGCCAGGACATTAGAAGCCCTCCCACTGTTGACCCCCCCCAAGCACCAAGAAAACAGAGCATCACTTGCCCCAGAGCCCCTATCTATACCTTGTGGCTAATAGCCACTGATGAACCTCTGCTCCGTATGGTTATCTAATTCCCTTTTGAAGCCGTCCATGCTTGTAGCCGCCACCACTTCCTGTGGCAGTGAATTCCAAGTGTTAATCACTCTTTGGGTGAAGAAGTACTTCCTTTTATCCGTTCTAACCCGACCGCTCAGCAGTTTCATGGAGTGCCCACGAGTTCTTGTATTGTGAGAAAGGGAGAAAAGTACCTCTTTCTCTACCTGCTCTTTCCCATGCATCTATCTATATAGCTAATAGCGAACTTGCCCCCGGAGTGCGGATCGCTAAATCAGCGCTCCGGGGGCAGCTGGGGGGCCAGGGGAGGTTTGTGCACACGAGGCCCAATCCCCACGTGTGCACAAAAATAAAAAAACTTGAA